TTGGTATGTCTGATGAGGTTATCTTTTCGCGTGAATATTTCTGAGCATATATTGCATGAAATCTTTTTGGAAACATCATGTGACTTGGCATGTCTGTGTAGATTTTTAATCATTGTAAAGGTTTTACCACATATACTACACGGAAACATGATTACGTCTGTAGAAAACTGAAGTACACTAGTCGAACTCGCGAAACAAGACTTTACCCTTCAACGAATAGATGTGTAATGAATAATAGAAAAATAGGTATATTGTACTTTAAATAACAGCGTTAAATAGTTTTATCTAAGCGAATTATTAACGTATGCGCTAATATCAGAACTAGTGGTGAAAAAATGAACTACAGTGTTCATTAAAGTAAAATAAATAATTTGATTTTTTATAATACTTGTAAAATATTTGTACACACTTTAAAAACACATAAGAACTCTGAAATAACTCGACTTGACACTTGAACGGTAGTAAACGGACTGATCTCATATTGCTCTGTGCACTATACATTATGGCTGGAATTCATCGACAATACTCGGACGTGACACTACAGGCTTGTACAGGTCTGTAGTCGGATGATGTTTGTAATGAGACAGAATTGCTGATGTTATTTTTCGTTGTATAACGTTTACAAAAACTACTACTCGTGCGCTGTGTAGTAGAAAAACCAGGAAATAGCCGACCGTCGCCGCCGGACACCGGTGCGCAACCCGTCGACAACAACAGAACTAATTGTCGTGAGTACGCCGAAGCAAGAGCCTCATATCGACAACAGATAGCGCGCCACCGGAGCAATATTCACGAACAGACATTTCATTATACTAATTAACAGTTTCATGTTAATTAGTTAATGAAACTAATACTACCAGAAGAAAAGGCGACATCTAAAGTAGAGACTACGCCACTCACATGATGAATCTACATCGCTAAGTTTAACAAACACATCAAAAAGTAACTATGACCGACCGGAGTTCTTATTTGCTGCAACCACAATAACAGCCAGTAAATATACCCCGGGAGCAGTCCCGAAATCAACGTTCCCTCGCTGCTGAGCTCGGATATGGTGTATACCAGGTCAAACGAGCCAGTACGCCGCTATCGACACTGCCGCCGCCACAGTTCGCCGCCGCCGTTGTTCGCTTTTAGTCTCCTATTGAGCTTGGACATGGATAAAACCAGGTCAGACTGAGCCAATACGAGATTTTACCGTCGTCGCCGTAATTAAACGTCGCCGCCGCCGTTGTTCGCTTTTAGTCTCCTATTGAGCTTGGACATGGATAAAACCAGGTCAGACTGAGCCAATACGAGATTTTACCGTCGTCGCCGTAATTAAACGTCGCCGCCGCCGTTGTTCGTTTTTGTCTCCTATTGAGCTTGGACATGGATAAAACCAGGTCAGACTGAGCCAATCCGAGATTTTACTGCCGCCGCCGTATTGAAACGCTGCCGCCGTAATTAATGTTATTACATCGTGATCGAGCCGTCGCCGCCGACCGAGTAATAATATTTATGGACTTATTGTGAATAACGAGCCACACGCCGTTATCCAATATTGTCATTTTACTGCCGCCGCCGTATTTAAACGCCGCCGCCGTAATTCGTAATATTGTTCTTCGTAATATATCGTGTTGTCGTACCTACCCGCCGACCGAATATGATTGGTAAAGTTGTTGTGAATAACGAGTTACACGCCGTTATTCATTTTTAATCGTCGTCGCCGGATTCAACGTCGCCGCCGCCGTAATTCTTATTATAACACGTAAATCGTCGTAAACACGCACTCACACATACGCACCACAGTGCAAATCGTATAGCGTATACGCCGCACGCATCATTGTACCTACTCGTCGCTGGTCAGGACGTGTTGTTGTACCTACCCGCCGACCAGCCATATCAATCAACAACCCAGGGAAGCATCTCGTAAACAATTAGTTCTACGACGACCACTTTCGACTGCAGTCCATCAACGGAGAGCCGTCATTCAGTTCAACCAGTACGTGTGCTCAAAGATTGAACAGTCCACCAGCAATTCCACTCATAACCAGGAAACCGTGAGTCAAAAAAAAAGAAAAAATCTTATATTGTCAAAAACCTATTTCTTGTTATACGTATTTTGAATTGTACACTGCTTTATGCAGTTAATATTATGTTGAAAAGAAAATATTGTGAAAATAATTAATACAATACGAACAATAAATATCAAAAAAAGTTAATATTATATTTGAATCAAAAATTGTGTTTGCATTCATTTATTTATATTACATGTTAGGGTGTGAGGACGGGTGGCGGGGTGTAAAATATAATTTAGGCTGGTACTCTGTTGGATTGGAATGTCTTATTGCTTATAACTGTGACTATGTATGAGTTTGTGTGTGTGTGATACATTTCGACGTATAACGTATGCTTTATCGAGATGTTTATTCGAATTTGATTATAATCTGAAAATGGTATAATATTTTTAGATATGTGTTATGTTGTTACCTTATATGATATTATGAGCGTGTATGATATAGTCGATACAAATGTACATTAGAATATTATATTTATATTTTTAAAAGGGTAGATAATGTATTTGATTAGGAAGGGGTAAAATATATGTCATACAAGTGTTCGATATAGTCGATACAAATGTACATCAGTATATTATATATATTTTTTAAAAGGGTAAATAAAAGGGGAGGTAATGTATTTGAAGGGGAAGGCATAAAATATATGTCGGTCACGTGTTGGATCGGGTGGCTTGTGACGAGTTTATGTGTGTTGCGGGTTGCCTATATTGAGTAATTAATACAAGTTTGGGAGGAGCCTGTACTACGAATTGCCTATACAGAGAAGCCTATGCTTTTACATGTAAAATTTAAGGGGAAGGAGCTGCTGAACATACCAAATCATACTACTATTGTCATTATATTGAAACCTCGTATCCAACAACCTGAAAACTTGGTCCAACAAACTTGTCTACACATCTTAGAAGAAGAAAAAACATTCCAACAACTTTTCTAAGTTCTACAATCACCATTTTCTTCTAGCACTACATTTTACATTTTTTCACCTAATATTCATATTAAAAATTTTTAATTGTCGTTATATTAAGATCTTGTGTCCAACAACTTTAAAACATGGTCCAACAAACTTGTCTACACATCGTAGAAGAAGAAAAAATATTCCAACAACTTTTCTAAGTTCTACAATCACCATTTTTTACTAGCACTACATTTTTCAATTTACACATATTATTCATATTGACATTTTTTTTCTTCATATTATTGAGTTCTGGTGTCCAACAACTTTAAAAAGTGGTCCAACAAACTTGTCTACAAATCTTAGAAGAAGAAAAAACATTCCAACCACCTTTCTAAGTTCTACAATCACCATTTTCTTCTAGCACTACATTTTTCATTTTTTCACCTAATATTCATATTAAAAATTTTTAGTTGTCGTTATATCTAAGACAAAGAAATAATTGGCATAACGCAAATTAAAAAACTTTTTATTTTTATAGTGATTTTCTTTTTATTAAACTTTGATTTCACAACATTTGTTATTCTTGTTTTGTAAATAGCATTGTGTGTGGTTTTATCTTTCTTGAGTCTTTACATCTATTAACTCGTAAGGACAAGTCGTCATGGCATTCCCAATATCCATGTATCCGTCTACAATAGGTTACATAGTGAGACACACGTCCCTCTAATCCTTGGACAAAAGCTATGACTGCTACAAATCTGTATCTGTAATTATATTATTATCGTGAACATACATTGTTTAGATTGTAAATTTTAAGCTAAGTTATAAAATAACTAAAACAAACACTGCGCTTAAAATTTACATATTATTTCTTATTAGGAGGATTTAAACAAATGCAAAATGCCATAGACAATATGAAACCAGACCCAGTTGTTACATATAATAGAAAATGTTATCACAGTGGTTGCAATGGTACTATAGTTGTCACAAAAACACTTAACCAGCATATTTGGTTCGACACAATTATGTACCAAGGTATGGACATAGAATGTAAGCTAGAAGACATACCACTCAATATAAATATTTGGTATATATTTTGGATAATATTGGTAAAAATAACACGTAATTTACGTTTAACCTACGTATATTATCAGTATGTAACACGTTTATACTTGGTACATACTACATATATTATTGGTGTAATTCTAATGAACTACTAAAAGTGACCTTGATATAAACGTAGATTATACCTGTGTTCACTGGCGCCATCTCTAAATATGGGAGATCTTTTTGTGACCCACCTATTTAATTTGCACAGAGCCGTGGGGGGGGGGGGCTCTGTATATTTTTTATAAAAAAAAATTATCCAAACATTAATTCTTTTTTTAATACACTTGATGACAGTCCGAATTTATTTATAATTGGTCGTTTCGGGTAAACTGTGGAAAATACGTCTGAATGTCAGATAAGTATTTGTTTTATTTATAAACCATGCATGTTTATGTCTATAGGTACTCTATACTCTATATGACTATTTATATATTTATTTATTTGATACGTTATGACGTTATGTCACTCTATATTTTTCAGAACTGACTATCCACTATAGGTACCTACCCAACCCTTTTAGCTGTGAGACAATTGTCTCACAAAAAGCCTCTCGCGCCGCCACTGGCTGTACCTATATAATCTGAGTTAAAGTAAGGTGTTGAAGTTCAATATATTTTAAGTTCATGTTTCCAGTAATCTAAAACCGGTTTACGGTTTACCTATCTCACATATTTTTTTGCTTATAAAAACATCATTCAGTAAAGCAGTGTACATTGATAAGTAATTTTTAATTTTTAATACATAATATTCAAATAAGATCAATATACAAATTAAATTCTTTTGTAATAGTATTATATGGATTATTAATGTATACACAAATAAAAAATAAGATATTACATTCAATTAATAATAAAAAATCTCATTAAATTATATTGTACTCATATACTTTTATTTGTATATAGGTATATACACTTATGTTATAAGTTATCTTAAGGTTATTTTCTTTTGGGTGCTTGTTTTAACCAGTCACTTATGTGTCCTTTAATTTCCAGAATTGAACTGTGTGGGAAATGGTCTTTAACACTATCTAATACAAACAATATAAATACAATAATATATAATAATATGATAAATTAAATATGAAGAAAGTCAAAATAAATTTGTAATTGAATATTTTAAAATAGCTCAAAATTAAAAATATTTAGAACAACATTTCAACTATAAAAATCCTATAGTTAAGATGTAGATAATAGTTTTATCCATACCATATGTAAGATCCTTAAAATATTTGATGACTAAAACCCTTATTGTTAATGATGTGTGATTTCTAAATTACCTATAACAATGGTACAAATTTTAAATTTGCTAAATGCACTTTTATCTCCTCGTCTACCTTCCATGTTTAAATATTCAGCTAATCTATTATGTATGACTGTTTTCATTGCCAAGTATGTTGTACGCTTGGCATCAAATGATTTTGAATCTCTTTTTAAAATCTGATACTAAATAAACAACAATTTCTTATAATATGCTTAATTTAAGTAATAGAATTTAATTTTTAGAAAATTACCAAAGTTTTTAATTTATCCTCTTCAGCGTCAATATTTTTCAATTCATCCATAGTTTCTATAGGTATGTTCAAACTAGACCGGTTGAAAGATCTTTGGTCTGTAGTGGTAACTGAATGGGTTAAATGAGTGTTTATATCTATCAAAAGTTCTTGATTTTTCATTACATCCACTTGAATGATTTTTAAATCTTTTTGTAATGTGGCCATCTTACGTGCAACTTTGTTAAAAAATATAACAATCATCGTTTTACTAAATATTAGTTGTAGGTATGAAATTAAACAAATATGTACCATCCATAACAGCGTGACCAATATCATTTACCATTTGCGTCAAATGTATATTACTATATTCTGACTCTGGTTGATGCTGAATTTTAGAGCTCATATCCTCTATCTCCAGGCGATAATCATTATTAGAGCTGATATCTTCTGATTCTGGTTGATGCTCAATATAAGAGCTGATATCTTTCATGACTTAAATAAAAAAATATATAGTTATATAAATTAAATTATTTTATAAAAAATAAAACATACTTCCTGAGTGTAAATTAGTGATGTTTAATTTGACAGGTACTTGTGTACTATCATGAACATATTCATTATCATTAACCACATTAAAGAAATCTATTGAATCTAAAACAAATAAAAAACAAACCTTGATTTTACAGTATTTTTTATTTTAAAGTGCCTATTTAGTATTTACATTTAATTATGAAATATTATTAATTTACAATAATTAATATACCTGTTGGTTTTGGAGAATTGGCCAATGGATTTGAAAACATTGAAACACTTTCCACACTGCTATCAGATTGAACTGCTTCATTATTGTTCTTAATTTTGGAAACTATGAGTTATAAAATGTTATTGTCGTTAAACTGTTCATTATAGTGAAATACCTATAATAATATATTATTATGTTTTACACTACATACCTTTAAATAGTTTAGTTGTTATTTTTTTACGTTTTGTGGCTACATTTGACAAATATTCTGAACCAGAATAGAAATTCTTATTTGGAATACGTTTTCTATGAGTATCTTCCAATTCAGTAGTGCTTGTGTCGCAAAATGAAAATAGTTTTGATTTTGCTTCATTGTACGTTTCTGCAAACATGTGATTTTATTTATTTTTTTTTTTTTTAGATTAACCTTGTTTACTACAATGGCAGAGTTTAAGTCAAACTCTTGTACTAAAAATATAGGTGATATAATATAAACTAATTTTTGTTGCTCTCATAACATGTATACATATACGTTATAACGTCAGCAATGAGTACCCCCTGCAAGGATAGGACATAAGTTTTTAGTGATGTGCTAAAATAAGAACAATTTGAAGATATTTTTTTATCACTTGTCCCAGTAAATACTGATTTGTAAGTTTATATTATGGACACCTTGTAATATAAATAAATGAATGCAGAGACAAGTATTTGCTTCAAATATAATATTATCTTTTGTTTATTGAAAATATAGTTCAATGTAGTTATTAAGTGACAATATTTTCTTTTATATATGATTTTAATTGCATTAAGCAATGTACATTTAAAAATACGTTTAGCAAGGATAAATTTGACAAAATAGAAGTTAGTAGTAATGGACTCACGGATACTGCTTGGCAACTGTCAATGTAATGTCCAACTGAGCTGCTTGTTGCGGGTAGTCCGAAATGGTCCTGGTAAATGATACTTCTTTGGTGATGTTGGAACAATCGAACTTGTAGTAGAATTGAACACAGCGGTCGTACGTTTACTTAGACGATGTATTAACGGTCGTGCGAAATTAAACGGTTAAGTAGGTAAAACTATTGATTACTACCGTATCAATATGTTTACCGTGTGTTTACGTATACAAAATATGAAAATCGACGTTTCAACACTGTGAATCGATCGGAAATATTATCACGGTTTCAACTATGCAACGCTGTTTCTCGATCGGCGGTTCGGTATGCTCGGTCGAGACTGTAACGCAGTTTCTCGATCGGCGGTTCAAACTCAATAACGTTTTTTTTGACCGGACTGTCTGTGCTTCCGTTGATTACGGTAAACACCAGTGTCAAGAAAGGGCAGCGGCGGCGGAAAACAACGTTCGGCAGCGGCGAAATACTAATTGGCGATTCTTGCCCGGTCTGTATGTGCTTTCGTTTGGTAACGATAAACACCAGCGGCAAAAGAGCGCGGCGGCGGAAAAACAACGTTCGGCAGCGGCGAAATACTAATCGGCGATTCTTGCCCGGTCTGTATGTGCTTTCGTTTGGTAACGATAAACACCAGCGGCAAGAAAGAGTGGCGGTTTAATGAACGACTTTTCTTGCCCGGACTGTATGTGCTTCCGTTTGATAACGGTAAACACCAGCGGCAAGAAAGAGCGGCGGTTTAACGAGGCAAGTCGCACTGTTTGTGCTTCCGTGAATACGGCAAACACCAGATACGACTGCTAGCGGAGAGAGTATATATATTTTGCCGGTTCACCGGGGTCTATTTACCACATGTGATGACTACGGCTGGTTTTGAGATCATAGACTTCGGTGGGTAGCATTTTGTTGACCTTTGATGGTTCTACATCTGCGGGTGGTCTCGTGAATCAAAGGTGTGCATCCGGGGACATTTTCTTACTAGTAGTGGGACGAAACTTACTTGTAAGTTTCGTTTTTTCATCCTTAAATGTCGCTGGTACGCGTCGTTCAAAACGGTAGGCGAGTACCATGACATCTAGTGTGTCTTACTTGCGCATGCTGTGTACGAAACTGTGTGTGATAGTTCCGGCGTGGTCTGCGGGCGGCGCGTCGATAGCGTGTCCATACGCTATTATGCGAAAAATAACATAGTCCATTCTGTCTCGTTACAACCTGCATGTGAAACTTTCATGGAAGTCTTTTCGATGCCAATAAAAATCTTTATCCATCCACATATTTACCATCACTTCATACAACATAAGTAAAAATATTATGTTTTACCATAAAACTTTCGAGGTATACAATTGTACTCTTCCCAAGTTACAAGAGGCTGTTTTTGGGCTATGACATATTTTGAAATATTTCCACTTCCAGGCCACTGACAAATAAATTGTTGAAGGATGTCATTAAATATAATCCATTTACATGGAACAACTTCGGCAGATTGTTCATTAAGAAACTCTACAATGACAAATTTGTATAGTTTTAACTGTTCTATAGTTGCTATGGAATTGGCCTTTATACATGAATCTATTAATATAAAATAAAATATTTTTTATATTAGTTATTATGTTTATAAAACTTAACAAAATAATATGTAATTAAGTACCAGCAAAGTTTAAGACTCGTCCAATTTTTTTAGTCCAATCATTTTCAACATTAACATAATGTTCAGATTTTAAATTGGTGATTCTAAAGGCCAATGCCATTCACAGACTTCCCCAATTGATGGAACATTTGTACTTAAAAGCCAGGTTTGTGGTATTACTGATACAATATCATTAAAGCTTTGAACAATGACATATGGTTTTATATTGTCCATCCTACAAAAAAGTATTATATTATTATTATAAATCATTATACAATTTAATCAGCTGCTTACTTTAATATGTAATACTATGAAGTAATGTGCACACATAAAATGAAAGTGACAAATCATTATTTTAATTAGGTAAATAACAAGCTTTGAATTGAATATTTGAAATGGGAAATAATTTTAGTATTGGCGACAATTTGCTACATTCAAACATACCAACTGATGCACTAGAAAACGGTTCATTATATATAGGAATAACTTTCTCAAATTGCTTGCATAAAAGGAATAATTTGTCATCAATTTTCAATATATTTTGCACTATACATATTACAGATGAAGAAAAAATGACGCAATCATCTTTTTTAGTACTTTTACGATTTTCAAATGTAACTCGAATGGTAAACAATTTCATAATTAAAATTGAATATTGTAATATTGATTTATTCAATATACTACTTTGTAATGGTCCTTTAGAATGACATCCATATAAGACAGGAAAATTGATATATAATCCACGAGTAATATTACATTCACGTTCTTCTACAATTCTATTATATAATTGCACTAAAGGAGCTCGACCAGGTTGAAAAATTTTTTTAATATGTTGTAGGTAATTTTCATATGGAAATGATGAAAAATTGTCAACAACTCCATATTTTTTTGCATCTTTAACCAAATGAATTATTGAGTGTACATTATACGAGGCGTTCCCTTTACCATAAACATCACAAAATGTTTTTAAAAAATATTTTGCAAGACTTTTTGCATAATCATTTTGACTATACACAGTTGTATGGCAACTCAAGAGCCGCATCAAAATATTAAATATCACAAAATTATTATAAACTGGTTGACTAACTATGTTCTTGAAAATATAAGGTCCAGTGTACATCATTATTTGACGGAATTCTGTAGCTTTAAAGGTTTTATAATCATTTATAGGAATCCGAGAAAAATCAGAACTTAAACATTTTGTTATAATTTTCATTCGATTGTATATTCGTTCAATTTGTGATTTTGATACCCGAACCGAGCCACAAGCATTTGGAACAGTACTACCTCTAATTAAAAGATGTAACATTTTTTTCATGATTCCCAGACAACATAAATGCATATAATCTAAAGGGATTGATGAAACTAGTCCCAGACCCGATATTCCTAATAATGGGGATACTCCAATATGGTGTTCTTCATTTAAATATAAATTAAAAGATTCATCAGTACGTAGCTGTGCATTTCCATTAGGAAAGCTTACACTACCCGATAAATAGTCTCCTTCTTCTATACATTTCTCGCAACCAAAGTATCCAGAATGGCCTTTAACTTGCTTTATAAAAGCTCTTGCTGGAGCATCAGCTATAATTCCTTTGACTTTTATATTGAGAGAATTATTGTTGAATTGTAAACCATTTTCAAGAAGGTTGTTTATGTCAGTAATAAAAGGGGAAAGATATTCTTTTACATTAAATGGTTTTTTTGATCCAAAATAAGCTCCAACAATGAAGGGTTTCATTATTGAATCATTAACCCAAAAACTACACAATATTGGCCAAAATGATTTTCCTCTTTTATCAATAGGAAGACCATCAACATTAAACCACAATTCTAATGTAGACAAATTGTTTACAGGTTCAATTGTTATATTTAAAGTGTAAATTAACCCTGCTGAGATACCAAAATGAATATATTCTCCGCCACCAATACTTTTAATATCAATATCACCTGATCGAGGTGTAGATAACAAAGTTCTAGAATCTAACGTTAACAACTTTAAACAATCTAGATTATCCACAGTCTTTAGTAATTTTAATAATTTGGTAGCACTAGTTTTTGGAATTTTCGATGCAACAATAAATGATGCTAATTTAGATTGAAAAACAGTTGGATCAGAAATATTTTCAATTTTTCCACTTTCATCATGAGGACTTTTATAAACACCATTCTCAATGTTATCAACATTATCTTGTTCTACTATAATTAATTCATTTGAATGGACATGAATAGAATTAGATTCATCATCATTAGAAGTCTCATTTGGAATATGTACACTTTTTACACCCATTTCAGATAAATCGGATGTTCCTTCTTGGGTAAAATCAAAATGACTACTAATTTCAGGCATATCTTTTCTTCTTCTTACTTTGGATATTTTAGATAAAGTGCAACTAGGTTTGTAGGCATGTTTTGGCATTTTAACACTAAAAAAAAATGTATACATTGTTTTAAAAAAAATATTATATAATATTATTATATATTCCCATTTTACTAAAAAGCTATATATATATTTGTGTAATATATTTGTGCGTGTGTATACCAAACAAAATATTTTTTTCTTTGCTGAAACCCCATTAGAATTCTAATCAAAGCTCATTCGCCTGAAATATTTGGTGGTATCTCTAACTTAAATATACTACCTATTATATATATGTATAAATGTATAATATAAAGGTATATTATAATATAAAATTATAATTGTGTTGAAAAAGTAATTATTAAATAGGTAAAATGCTTTAAGTATTATATTAGTGTCTCTTAATAATTATACATAAGTAATTGCAATACAAAATCAATTTATAGTAAAATATATATAATATGTATCTAAATATTATATATAAAAAATATGTATATATTATATTTATCTAACTTAACAACTACAGATTGAATAAACAAAGAAGTACCTATATTATATACAGACATAAATATAAGAACTTAATTTTGGTAGATTCTTTAAAAATGCATCTATATTTTTTTGAAGAATCTAAGCTATATAGTTTCAATACATACAAATATATTGGCATAACACCCTAATTTGGTTTATGTTAACATAGGTATACTAATTATACATAAATATTATATGCATTCAACTATGGTTGAGTACTATATATGGGTATATACTTACTTACCCATATAATAATATATACAGCTTTATAAGTTATAATAGTTATACAATGTATTCATATTTTCTTTAAAAGAAATAATCGTTAAAATAAATAATATACTTACACGTCAGTTAATTTAGGCAAGAAAGTCTTCGATGCAAAAGTGCAAAACACAATAAGAAAAAGCAGTTAGCTAGCGCCTAGCTGTAGTTACTAGTCACTGTCTCACTGACCACTGACACAATACAATAATAAAGCGCTAATAGCGCTATAATATAATCGCCAATCGTGAGCACGATCGTTCAACTGTTCAAGCCGACACACACACACACACACACACACACACATACACATGGCTGGCCGACTGGTTGGGTTTTTCTTAATATTAATATCTAATTAATCGATTTTGATTTATTTTTAGTTTGTCTTTCAACAATTTTCATTGAAACGACCATATTCCTCGTTGATATTGTGGTGAACTCCCTCCTTATTTTCCCCCAGCTGCGGTCGGCGACAACGACGCTCGTCCGGCATGTCGCGGCGTCTCCACGAACGTCTCGGCGTGCCGAGCCCGGCTGGATCTCCCCCTTGACGACTCTTCTCGCGATTATATATTATAAACTAGTTCATAGGTCTATGGACTATGGAGTATAGACGCACTACCCTCGACCAGCTCACGGCTCGCGCCACTAGTCCTGCACCTCCGGGCTACACAACCGACTCCGACTACGATCTACACAGCAACGATGCCGTAGAGCTCTAGCCCGTATCGAGCTCTCGTGCCCTTTTTGGTCATCTAACCAGTGCCGGCGCTAGGGGAGGACAAATGGGACATTTGTCCAGGGCCCCGTGATTTTTAATTATCATCTTAATACGAATACCGTGGTCTACCGTCGTATATTGCATTATTCTGCCTGCAGCGGTCGGGTACTTAGATATTAAACAATTTATTATTTTATTCAAACATTTTGATGAATTAATTTATTTTTAATTGATGATTTTATGTAGTTGTTAAAATAAATGTAAATTAATAAAATAACTTAAACTTTCTCTACTTAAACTCTCTTAACTTAAATTACAATCGGTCGGCCATTGGACTATACGTACTAGTTGCTACGAATGTAGGGATTCTAAGAGCTATACGTAGAATATAAGTATAGAAGTAAGTGCTCACTTAACTTAAATTACATTCGGTCGACGATTGGGCTACACGTACTAGTTGTCACGAATGTAGGAACTCTAAGAGCTGTGTTCGAGATATAAATGTGTAATAATAAATATTCATCACTCTAAATTACATTCAGTTGGCGGAGAGACTATACGTACTTCTGTTACTAATGCAAGGATTTAAAGAGCATATAGTGATAGTCACAGGTAGAAATTATATACGAAATCCTACAGATCACATAAAAGAATATACATGTATTGTCATCGTGATACCGACTATTGAACACGACCCCGAAGGACTGCAAACACTTAAGAGAGAACCAGCTGCAGCAATGTAAGTGTTTTGAATATTTATATAATAAAAGTAGGTGATTCAAATATCATTAGGCAGTTAGGTACAACACAGTAGTAGGGCGATCTTATGCGGAAACAATCAAAAACCAACATAATCTTACACAATTCACAAACACGTAAACGTATAGGTACAGACACATACGCGCACTGCGTACGAAGCATACTATAGCATATCACCCACCATCAACATTATAGCGGGGGTCATTGAACCATCATTCCCCGAAGGACACTGCCAACCGGTTCGCCAGATGCGTCCCTTGCTCGTTAAAGTAGATCATTAACCCACGTACTTATCGTACATCACGCATCGTTCTATATATCGTAGCACATTACAACCCGCAAGTGTGTTACCTAAAAAACCACTACCTTACCACTACCGTCTATTCACCCTTTTCAACTAGATAGTTCCCCGCATATTTTCTCCTTACTACAATATCATACACCACAACCACGGTTAAACAAAATACCGCACTAAACCAAGTGCTCACGAATATAGGCGGGTTTCCACTATACACGTACTCGTTCACGTGCATACAAATCATTTGCTGTGATTGGTTGGTTATGTTAAGTTACCACACGATTAACCACGATACCGTGTTGTTGGACATAGCTGAACATTTTTCGTGTACACGGCAAAAGTGTATAGTGGAAACCTTATCTACCTTTCAAACGTTGGCGTTTGTTCTGCAAAACGTTTTCTGCTATAGAATTTCCTCTATAGTCTATAGGTAATTAGTCCGTAGACCGTAAGTGGTAACCACGAATTAAGATATATATTAGGTATAGTGTTTGATGTATGAAATATTTCATTTTGAAATATTTCACTATATGGTGAAATATTTCACAAAAACGTGAAAACATTGAAATTTTTTTTAACACAAATAAAAACTCTATTTTTTTAACACAATGTTCAGTGTTCTAAATTCTACTGAGCAGAATTCAGTAGATATACAATAAAAATGTATAATATTGTATACCAACTTGTATCATTTAAACATTAAAATATTTAAAAATTTTGAATACCATTTTAAATGTATAATACCATGTTCTGTGATAATACTAAAGGTTACGGGTACATACAAGTGATACAGGTACCATACAGTTATGAAGGTAACTTATGACAATTATATGTAAATATAAAACTTATTTAAAAATAAAACAAAATTTATTAAAATACTGAAATATTTCACACATTTTGAAATATTTATTTTTTTTTTAAATTTCATTAAATTTTCAAACACTTATCAGGTATATTATAATTCACGAATCATGATGGTAACTGACGGATAGGCGGACGCACAGACACAACGGGGATATAATGTGTTCTAAATAAATGTTAAATTCTTATCTAAGTTAAATGTTTATGATTAATGAAATATGAAATAACATAATATTTAATATCAAATTAATTCATATTATATGAAATAAAATTGAATATTAAATATTTTCAAATAAAATAAAATTTTAATAATTTAGTTTAATTTCAAATATAATTAGTATAACAGAAATAATTTAAAAAATAAACTTGAAAAATGTAAAAATTATTGTAAAAAATATTATTTTATTTTTAATAATATATTATAGGTTAACTACTGTAACTGGTATGATACCATTCATAAAAATCAAGTATAAATTGAACTAAACTAAATTATTATAATGTATTTTAACTAATACAAATAAAAAATAAATAAATACTATGTTTGTGTTTTTTACATTTTTTTAAATATATACTATATTAAATAGATGAAAATAATACTAATGTTGTAAATAAATGTTTTATATTTACAGACAAAAACCGAAAAATAAAATAATAATTATTGATTTTGAATTCACAAACTATCAACGTACTGATTTAATACTTATTTCTGCAGCTTATTACAGACTCATATACAATCAAAAATTGAACGTATGCGAGGTCGACCTTTAATAATATCACCTGATGGAAGAATAACATTAATGAATAATTATACCTATTTGAAAAACAGACATTTGTTGCCAAAAATTTTTGAAAAGAAACCAGACCAGCTTCAAGTTTGTAACGGGTAGGTTTTTTTGAGCCTAGTCCTATACAAATATTTATGAAATCACAATGCATGGATTTTGGTAATCATGTTAATCTTTATTGAACGTAAATATATTAATTTTATAATACAAAAATACAAGTGATACAGGTACCATACAGTTATGAAGGTAACTTATGACAATTATAGTAGTATATATTTGTATGCTCACAGTCCGTTTTTTGTATCACCACGGTAATTTCACAACGTTCAAGCGAAGATGTTCCCATTGTACACAATAATTTTACCGTGTAAAAATTATGAAGAGTTTGCACACTCAAAGTCAGTTTTGACCAAATATTTACAGTGTACACGCTAAATAGTTTTTTTTCTCAACATACATTATTATTCACATATTACATTTATGGTGGTTACACTGTAATTTATCTAATGAATGTCTTCATTTATATAATTTCAAGTTATAAGCTGATCATTTTCTCATATTCAGTTACTAATGATCCGCCGTTCACTTAAGTCGTGTCTCATTTTTCTTTATTTTCTTGAAGTTTTATTACATTGTATAAGTTATTTAATTTCTTCAAAAATGAATTTTCAAAAATGTTCAAATGATTTTGAATCATTAGTTTATCGTGTACAAAGAAATCCGACTATGGTTCATCCAACATTTTCTTCGTTTTCATCAAGATTTAAAACATTCAAATTATTCCCGTTAAATACTTCTCAAAATAAATATACATTGTCTGAATGCGGTTTAAAATATTCAGGAGTGG